TAAACCCCTCTTTCCTCCAACAAAATGGAGGAGTTGATCCTCAATGAAAAACCTCACCCTTTGGTACAGCGTAGAAGGACCTTGCAGGGAATGGTGCCACTATATGGAGCCAAAGGCTTGCCAATAAGAAACTAAATTATGCCATCTGTCTACCATGTTCAAATTGATCTTGAACTTGTACAAGATGATGATAATATCAAGTTCAATTACTCCAGTACTCTGGCAGGCAAAATATTCAAATGTTTGAACGATCACAGTCTCTCTTTAGATCCAAATGCGGCGGTCCAAGATCCTTTGCACTGCTCAATGTGCAAATATTTGAACCGTTGAAATTATCTATCAAGACGCAATCCTCGGTGCCTGAAGTGGATCTACAGAATCTCGATCACTAACCACCAACTTTACCATTTTCTGCCTCCCTATCAAGTTGATGGTTGATAAAGAGGTGAGACACTAGGCATATCAAAAGATCAAGAATCAAAAATATCCTGCATTGTTTTGTATTTGCTGTCAAAGAGTACATAATATTCATTTGATGCATCGGGAGCCCAAGATTAACTTCTCTAATTATCATATCTATTACTTTTATATCAATACTGCAGGCTGATGCATAGTATGACTAATTCCAAGTAAAAACACTACAGAAAGAAGGAACTTGATTTTACATCTATGACAACATTACTAGTATAAATTGGTATCCTGATTTCGTCGTAATGGGACCAGAATTTTCCCAAAACATAAATAAATAAAGTGATACCAAATTTTTTATAGGAATATCAAATATTACATGGAAAAGAAAGGGGCAATTTTCATCAGCTTTACCTCCACAGACGTCTATATGCCAAGGATAGGATGAATATAGCATGGTCTAATCAATCGTACCTGCCAATCTAATTCCACTTCGTAGAGTCTGTTGATTTATGCTCATGCACCTTCTCTGAAGCTGATTCTTTGTATTATGCGTGCAAATTGTTCAAATGATTTGGCTCACGACATGAAGATTGCAGGTTTGAATCCTGCCCACGTCTATTCACTTAAGATGTCGAACTGATGTTCTTCTCTTTAGTGCATAACTTACACCTTTCTTGAGCCCACTTCTTTGTCAATTGCTAGTTGATCCTCGAGAACACAATTTTACCCTTTGGTGCAACATAGATGGGCGTGCTACATTGAGGCGAAGTCTTCCCAATAAGAAACTTAACGATGCCTCAATGTCTACCAAGTTCAAATGGATCTTGAACTTGTACAACTTTATGTCATTGTCAAGTTCATTTAGTCCAGTTGTCATGCGGACGGAATATTCAAATGCTTCAACAATCATCGTTGCTCTCTTTAGATCCAAATGATCCCAACCTTTCCACTGATCAATGTGCAAAAGTTCAAACCAGTCCCCATAAACAATCACGAGTGGCGCACCTCAGTGCCTGAAGTGGTTCTACAAAATCTTCACCAACCACCACCAGATTCGTCTTATTTACTCCAGATGACTTGCATCACTGATTTCTGCCTCACAATCAAAATGATGTTCAAGAAAGGGGTGACAAAGCAAGCATATCAAAGATCAAGAATCAAAAAATAATTTCCTAATTGCATATATTTGTTGAACAATGCTATATTTAATTCCACTAATCCTTACGATAAAACTCCATAACTCCCGCAATGAAGATTATTTAACCACAATTCATGGACCGAATATCATTGATGCCACCCTACAATTTGCTTAGCAAATCTTCCATTCAGCTATGTTTCACAATAAAGCAAAAACGACATCTACACTCTCGTAGTCTTATTTCTGCCTCCTCTCTTGCTTTTGCTTGAATTGTTTCTAATTATGAAATGAAACAAATAAAGTTTATGGAAAAGATGGTAAACTGGCATCTTTGGACAGTAACTATGGTTCGAACACAAAACAGAAGCTTCCGCACTTACATATACATTTACAGGTGTGTTTGACTGGGTTCATGCACATAATCATGTAACAAAAGATAATCTCAACTTGATTTTAATATTTGTACAAGTGTTGTTTTTGGCAGTCGAACAAACAATTCTGAGGCTTTGATGATATTACATACATCTGGCTATTTCCAGGATTGAACAACAATATGCGCGGTGGTGTCTTAGACTCTTTGTCTTGGTACAAACCCTCAGCTAGGGGACCAATTTTTGCCATTAGATTTAAGAAACAAGTGTATTTTCCTTTACTTTTTGACATTGGAAGTTTACTATAATTGTTATTACTTGCCCTGCTGAGCATTCTTCCCTGTACTGACTATCAATATACCTTATTAACATACGTAACTAACTTTACTGAATATTAATATACCGTATTAGTGACTGTACTGCATTTTAACACTGTATTAGTGGTTACAGCTTAATACCCCCTTGCAAGATCATTCCATCACCTCCAACAATTATGCCGAACCAGGGTTTCGACCATATAGCTTCATAGCCAAACCTAGTTCATTCAACATTCTGTAAATCATGCCCGAGCAAGGATGTGATTTGTCAGCAACAAGAAAACTGTGAGTCACACTATGTA